TTTCTTGGAACTCCAAGAAATTGGACCTCCCAGAAACTTGAACAAGTAACCAGAAGTACTTCTTCTGTTAACTCTGTCTCCACACCAGTCAGAATCAGAATAACTCACTAATTCTAGTTTTGTCTGTCTTCCAGAAGGAAATAGCAGTCCGTATTTCAGAGTTCCTTTGATATACCTCAGAATCCTGACAACAACTTGATAGTGATACCACTTTAGTTTGCTCATGAATCTACTAACCATTCCAACTGCATAACAAATGCCAGGTCTGGTATTGCACAAGCACCTAAGAGAACCAACCAACTGCTTGAAGGTTGTAGCATCCACATAAGCACCATCAGAATCCAATTTATGATTGGTTTCTGATGGTGTCACAACAACTTTGCAATTCTACAGCTTAAATCTCTTCAGAAGTTTAAGTTCATACTTCAGCTGATGTAGAATGATACCCTTCTTTGAGTATAAAATCTCCATTCCTAGAAAATATACCATATTTCCCAGATCTTTCATCTCAAATTCATTCATCAGAACTTATTTGAACTTGATTATATCTTCTGGGCAACTTCCTGTTAGTAATATGTGATCAACATATAGACACACCAGAATCATATTGCTACCAGAATACTGCACATACACGCCATACTCCATTTCACATTTCCGAAACTTCTGCCTCTTGAAAAATAAATCAATATTCAGATTCCAAGCTCTGGGCACTTGTTTCAGTCCATACAAGGCTTTATGTAACTTGTATACCATCCATTCCTGATTCTTTTTTGCAAATCCAGGAGGTTGCGACACATATACCTCTTCTTGTAACAGACCATTCAGAAATGCAGACTTCACATCCAGATGTATCGAAGGCCAATTTCTGTTTGCAGCTAAAGCAATCACCAGTCTGATTGTTTTGTGTCTAGCTACAGGCGCAAACACCTAAAAGTAATCTAGTCCAGGTTTCTGAAGAAAACCTCTAGCCACTAGTCTCGCTTTGTGTTTGCCAATTGGTCCATCTAGCTTAAGCTTCACCTTGAAAACCCAACTGACGCTGATGGCTTTCTTCTTTTCTGGAAGCCTCGTCAGCTTCCATATTTTGTTTCTTTGAATAGCCTCAAGTTCTTCTTTCATGGAATTCAGCCATACTTTCTTCTTGAGAGCTTCTTCAATACCCACTGGTTCAGAATCTACTAACATGGAACACTGAATGATTTCTCCTTCAAAATCTACTTCAGTAACATGCAACATGCTAAAATCTTCAAACCTACTTGGTATTCGTCTGATTCTCTATGGCCTCTGCACTTGTTCTGAAGCTTCTTCAGAACTCGGAACAATGCTAGCTTCTGGACTTTGTTTAGTACTACTTCCTTCAGAATTACCACCTTCAGAGTTACTTCTGGAAACTTGTCCTCCAGACCCTATGTCTTCAGAGTTTTCCCTTCCAGAAATATAATCACCATAAGATTCTGGATCATCATCAGAATCTGGATCAGAATCAGATCCACTATCAGAATCTCCCTGAGATTCCGACTCATCTTCAGAGTCTTCATCTTCTGACTCTGACTCGTCTTTAGAACTTTCTGAAGAATCTTCAGAAACTAACTCTGGTGGTGGCGCTACACCAGAATCTGATTGAAGCTTGTTCCAATCCCATGTTTCTGACTCTTTCACAATGACGTCTCTGCTGATTTCAACTTTGTTGGTTTCTGGACAATAAATATTATAGGCACGTGTACTATGATACCCCACCAGTAACATTATTTTGCTTCTATCATCCAGTTTCTGTCTTCTAGCCTCTAGAACGTGTTTGTAGCATACAAAACCAAACACCCTCAGATGGCTAAGACTTTGCTTGTCTCAAGTCCATTTTTCTAGAGGAACAATTTCCTTCAGCTTCTTTGTTGGACACCTATTCAGAACATATGCTGACGTGGCAACAACTTCTCCCCATAACATGTGAGGCAGCTTCTTCTCTTTCAGCATACTTCTGGTCATATCAAGCAAGGTTTTGTTTCTTCTTTCAGCAAGACTGTTGTGCTGAGAAGTATATGGAGCAGTAACCTCATGTTCCATTCTATTCTCCTCACAGAACTTCTGGAACTCTATAGAGTTATACTCACCTCCACCATCTGTTCTCAGAATCTTCAGCTTCTGACTACTCTGCTTCTCAGCCTTCACCTTGAACTTCTGGAACTCAGTAAACACTTCATGCTTGAACTTGATGAGTGTTACCCATGTCATTCTTGTGAATTCATCCACAAAAGACACAAAATATTTGTTTCCTCCAAGTGAAGATACTGGAAATGGTCCACACACATCATAATGTACTACTCCCAAAGCATGATTTTCTCTAGTGGCTACTTCTGATGCAAATTGCAATCTGGGTTGCTTGCCTTTCATGCATATCTCACATGACTTCTGAGGCTTCACAATCTTCGAAATAACATGTAGAAGCTTTTTATAACTTAGATTCCCTAAGCTTCTATAGTTCAAGTGCCCCAACCTCTTGTGCCACAGCTTATTGTCACCTTCAGCGCCTTCTGCACTAAGACACTCTGCTTCAGCTGTTTCTACATTTACCTTGAATATTCTGTTGCTTCCCTGCTCATACTTCATAATCAACTTCTGATTAGAATCATACAACGTCAAGAGGTTGTCCTTCATAACCACTGAGAAACCTTTCTCAATGAGTTGGCCCACATTCATCAGATTACTTTTAATTCCATGAACATATCAAACATCTTTGATCAAAATGTTTTTTCCATTCTTCACTCTGACTCTGACATTTCCCATACCTTCTGTATTAAGATACTTATCATCAACACATCTGATCTTTGTTCTCCTTCTGGAGTCAAAGTCTATCAGCCATTGTTTATTCCCAGTCAAGTGGTTTGAACAGCTAGTGTCCATATACCACCAATCTTCTGAACAGTTTCCATCAGAATCAGAAGCCATCAGTAGCACAGGTTCATCATCAGAATCTCCTCTGGATATATTTGCTTCTTTTGATTTCCTTCCTCTGTTTCTACAATCTCTGAAAAAATGGCCAAACTGTTTACAATAGTAACATTGAACCTTCTTCTTGTCATACCTTTCCTTTCCCTTCTGATATTTCTTTTCATAAGAAGTTGAGGTTTCTGACTTCTGGAATTTATCACCACTTCTATTCTGCTTCTGGTCCTTCTTGACAAAAGAAGCCTTCAGAGCTTGCTGCACTTCCTTCTTAGAAGTTCTTTCAGTCAGACGCAACTCCTGCGCTTCTAGACTGCTTTGCAACTCTTCTATTCTCATGGTTTCCAGATTTTTAGAATGTTCAATAGAAATAACAATATAATCAAACTGAGGAGTAAGTGACCTCAGAATCTTTTCTATGATTACCTGTTTAGAAAGTGTTTCTCCACAAGCTTTCATCTCATTAGTGATCAGAATTATTCTGGAGATGTACTCAAAAACTTTCTCACTGTTCTTCATGTTGAGATTCTCATATTGCTTTCGCAAGGACTGAAGTTTTACCTTCTTTACTGACACGTCACCACCATAACATTTGTCCAGTATATCTCATGCCTCCTTCGACGCCGTCGAATCAACAATCTTCTCAAACACACTTTCATCCACACACTGATGGATATAGAACAGAGCTTTCTGATCCCTCTTCCTCGTAGCTCTTTCTGCAAATTTTTGTTCTTCAGTAGCATCTGCTACAACTGGAACATAACCTTCAGTAACAAGATCCAGAACATCCTGGGCACCAAACAGCACATGCATTTGTATCTTCCATCTGTTCCAGCTTTTACCATCAAAAACTGGAAGTTTAGTGTTCAAACTATTGCCTTCATTCATCTTAAACCTTACATAAAAACTCAGATCTCAGATTCTCACTCAGTGTTTCCCAAACCCACATAATCAGTGTGATTCTGTTTCAGATTTTTGTTCAAGATTCAACAGAAATCAGGAACCAAAAATCAAACACACGGCTCACGTGTTTCCCAGAATTTCAGAACAAACCAAAAGCTCTAGATACCAATTTGTTGGTGCAAAGTGATGAAATTGAGAAAGAAGAGAGAAAAAGAATAAATGCTATAAAGCTGCCACAAATGATTGGAAGAGAATTTATTGTATTAAATGTAAACCTAGTACACCTATTTATACACAAAAGTAGTTAATATAAGGATGCCACATAAAACCTAAAGAGAATATCCACAAATAACAAATACTAAATTATCCTCTAATAATATTTTATATAAAATGCTTAGTACAAAGAAAGTTATATTTTCTAATTATGAATGGAGGAAGTTGTACTAATGCAACTAGCACATATTTAGTTTCTAAACATTATTTAAAAGCTAAACCTCATTCTAAATCTTACAAATTTCAATGACTTAATGATAATATTGAAATGATTGTGTTTGAACAAATTGAAGTGTTTTACAATGGTTACATATGAGAATATAGTGTTGTGTAATATGGTTTCTATGGAGGTTAGTCAATTATTATATGAAAGACTGACAATTTAATAAGAAACCTAATGAAGACACAGTAACAAATATTATTTTGTTCATCATGGATAAAATATCTTTCTTGTTCCATTGAGTTCCAATGAGGTGAAAAACGTTTTAAAAAATGAGAGAAAAAAAATAAAATCAAGTAAATATGATAGTGTAATTGGGTTAAAATGTTTTTAAGGAATACATTAAAATTAAATTCCAATGACTAAAAATAAATTTTACTAATATTATACTAATAAAATATATCCATAACTCTTATAAAGATCTTTGCCAAATTTTACGAGTTAAGTATTACTAATTCATAAATTTTAATCCATATTAGCATTAATCCAACTAACTTAATCCAAATTAAGTTGATTATCACAGCTACGTAAGAACAATCAAACATATATATAAATAAACCCTAAAAAATGTTTTATCCATATTTTCAATTTCATAATCCTTTTCTTAATCGAAAACACAATCATTTTTCTCTATATATTTGGAATTGTGATTGTGTAATTGAGCATGGGAAGTTGTTGCAGCTGCCAAGTTTCAATTGTAGACAAGGTGCATGATGTTGAAAATAATGAATGTAACACAAAGAATATTGAATCTACATGTGAAAATGGTGAGCCAAAGATCATGTTGAGAGGATCTTCTAAGTGTATATCAATGTATAGCCAAAAGGGTACAAAAGGAGTTAACCAAGATGCAATAACTGTTTGGGAGGTAAGAAACAAGATTAATTCTTTCTGCCAAATTTATTTTCCTCTATCTTTTCATGTTTTTGTATAGAAATTATGATTTTGTTTAGGGTTTAATTTTTTGTATACGTCTGATATTTCGGTTATTCAATGTTATTTTCTTCTCTCTTTTCATGTTTTTATATAAAAATATAGATTTGTTTAGGGTTTGAGTTTTTGTATTTGCCAGATATTTCGGTTATCAAATATTATTTTCTTCTTTGTTTTCATGTTTTTTTATAGAAATTAAGGTTTTGTTTAGGGTTTAAATTTTTGTATAAGCTAAATACTTCAATTATTCAATGATCTGAAAAATTAATGTGTGATATGATGCACTATTATTTAGAATTTTGGTGGAGAAAAAGATGTGATCTTTTGTGGTGTGTTGGATGGTCATGGTCCAATAGGACACAAATTTTCGACATATATACGTGACAATCTACCTTCCAAACTCTCTACAACAATGAAAATGTCACAACAAAATGTCTCTATAGACAATGGTTCTAACGCTTCGAAAAAAAGCACTAATGGTGATTCATGGGAAGAACAATTTTTTAGTTCTTTCAATGACATGGATCAAGATCTAGCTAAGAACATTGACAGAGAAGGATTTTCTGGAGGTAGCACAGCTATAACATTAATTAAAAAGGTAACTGTTTTATGGCCTAGATTTTTGTTTTTTTTCTTTCTTATATTTAAAATGTAACTCATTTTGTCATAATTTTGTTAGATGGAATTCTAACCATTAACTTTTACTCTCAATAAAATATCAGGGTGACCAATTGATAATCGGCAATTTAGGCGATTCTCGTGCAGTTCTTTGCACAAAAGCAAATGACAATAATCGTGTTCCTATTCAACTTACGGTTGACTTGGTTCCTGATGTTCCAAGTAAGTTTTAAATTGATTTTATCTCCAGAATTAATTATATCTAAAATCTATTAATTAACTTTCTCTCTTTATTTTCATTAGGTGAAGCAAATAGAGTGATGAAATGTGGAGGTAGAGTTTTTCCAGCACAAGAAGATCCTGAAGTAAATAGAATTTGGTTACCTGAAGGTGATTGTCCAGGACTAGCTATGACAAGAGCCTTTGGTGACTTTTGCCTAAAAAAGTACGGCCTCTCCTCAGTTCCTGAGGTGTTTTATAGAAAACTTTTAAAGGAAGATGAATTTGTTGTTATGGCTACTGATGGGGTAAGCATTCAAGATTTATTGACTCATAATAATTTCTCCATCTATTATACAAGTGCACATGCACGCGTTTACATAGAGAACATAAATTTTGTGCAATTACACAATAGTCATATATGGTTATTGAATCAAATTTTATATCCTATTTAAAAAAAAAAGATTTTTTTTAAAAATAAAATAAAATAGAAAATTTAAATTTTAGATCGTCTGATCTTGATTCAATGTCTATAAATATAGTTAAGTGCATACTTGCATGAGATGTGACCGCACAAAATCCAAATTTTTAACGACGATTTTAACAATAAAGTGATTTGAAGCATGAATTACCTCTAATATGCATTCAACTAAATTTGAAAGGTTCATTTTTGTTTTATAGATATGGAATGTACTATCAAACAATGAAGTAATAACCCTAGTTGCTTTAGCGCCAAAGAGGTCATTAGCAGCAAAATTGATAGTAAGACGTGCTGTTCAAGTTTGGAAACAAAAGTTTCCATCTTACCATATTGATGATTGTTCAGCCATATGTTTATTCTTCGATGAAGATCAGTCGGTTAGTGTGAGAGGAAAGAAAAGGCATTGCTAGCTAGAAGATTTGCATTGCTCTTAACCTAGAAGAGTAGGCCCGAAACTTGCAACTTTGTAATTTGCAAATAGTTTTAAATTGTAGTTGGAAAACTACAATAGATTTTGAAGTCTCAGCATCTATGTTAGTAACTGTAGACACAATATAAGTTTATGAAGCCTCGACAACTGCAATGTCAATTTAAAACTATTTCACGAAAAAAAAAGTGCTAGAATAAAATGATAAAAGCTTTTAGAAGATTTTTTAAAACCGTCTCTAAATCGCTACTCTTATTTGACTTGTTAGGGTTATGTATATATAGTGATTCATCGTCATAAGGCTTCAAGTTGATGTTCAACAACTTAACAGGGCTCCTAAAATCCTAAAAGTTTTGTTTTCATTTGGAGCTAGGCTTTCTCATGAGTAGTAGATTATGAGGGATTGGAAATTTTGTTTTGACGCATATATTTATAAGATATAACATATTAGAACACATCTTGATGTGACCAAAAACAAAAGGAAATGAATATGACAGAAAATTAATAACCAATCCCTCACACCATTTTGAGAGAAATCAATGATAGCAAGATTCGTGTCTTGTTAACTATTGCCACTTGATTGTAAAATCCAAAAAAATTAAAAAATGAAAGTCGTAGGGTACAGTGCCCATTTGAAGGGTGCATTTAACAATTTCATTTAGGAAAAATAATATAATAGGACTAGTGAAAGGCCAAAGACTTGGCATTGACCAAATGCTTTAGAATGGTCTAGTGGGCTTCAAATCATCAACATAAAAAAATTGATATTAAAAATTATAAATTTTAAAATAAAATAAAATAAAAAATTAAGACGTCACGGAAAGTTTTGCGACTAATAAAATCACATAAAAGAAAACTATACACATAATACATAAAATTACAAATAAATAATATAATAAATAAAATACTTAATGTATGAATAGAAAGGTTATTTGCTTGAGAAAAAAAAGAGTCTCTTTTGCATGACTCCAAATGGAACAGTTCTTATGAAGTTCTTCATTTATGAGTACAAATTAACATCCATGTGAAAAGATTTCTAATGCTAATGTAAGCTATTTCTATTTTTTTTAGCCATTTTATTTGTTGGTCTTAATTTTCTAATGATATTTGGTGGGTTTAAAATATTTAGAAAATTTCTCTTTACCTCTCACATATCTTAAGAATCAAAGTTTATATTACAAGTTGATGTGTTTAAATGAGTTTATGTTGAAAATGTTATGTTAGATTTTAGTGAAGTTATTGAGACATTTGATTCAAGATTAATATAGAGAAAAAAAGTTTATTGAGTCGGATGTTGAAAGAGGTGGTGAGTATAAAAAAAATAGAAAGTTAAAATACAATGACATTTTATAGAAGAAATTTGACTGTCCACTCAGGTTGTCTGATTACTACATGACTTCAAATGTTTACAAGCTTACTATGGTTTACACTGTCTAAAACAATGACTTTGATCACAAGTTAACGGATTATCTAATGGTCGGTCGCTTAAATAAGAAAAGAAAATTGTTGTCGAGATAAAAATGATCATGATTCTTCTAAAAAAAAGTATTATGACTTCAAATAGATAGATGTTCAATAGTGTAACAAATATTAAGCAAGTTTATGGTGCCTCACGAAAAAATCCAGGTTATAAATGGTCCAAGAACGAATATGCAAAAGTGGTTAAATGAATTGGATAAGCACAAACATATCTTTAGGTATATAATGTTTGATGTTGAAAAATTTGTTCATACATTTAGGTGCATACATAATCCATCCAGTTGTTTAGCATTTTTTTCCAATGTATTACTAATGGATTCAACATATAAGACCAACAAATACAAATTACTTTTACTTGAATTTGTTAGTGTTACTTCTAAAAAGATGACAAATTCAATTGATTTTGCTTTTATGAAATTTGAAAGGAGGATAATATTACTTGACTTTATAGATGTATCATATTTTGTTGAAGAGTCTAGAGAATATGTTGCATGTCATTGTAATTGATCGTGATTCTTAAAAAAAAAAGTGCGTGTTAGACGTAAATTCTATGGAAAAATTAAAAAATTTAAGGAGTGCATAAAGCGTCAAACCAAATGAATTAAGAGTTTTAATTGTGATCTCGACTAGGCCCGCACTTGTCCCACTGCCGGGGAGGACCAATCCAACACCCTTGCATAAAGCCCAAAGATAAGCAGTCTAAGTCAGGGATCATTAGGCAACTCCTCACGTGTCCGTTGGGGAACGTGACTCACGTGTCCGTGTCATTGTCATCATAACTACCCTCCGGGAATCCCGGTTATAACACCTATTCTCTCGTGGCAGTTAACCAGGGGGAAGTCCACGTGCTGGACTCCATATACACGTAAGCCCTCGCAGTGTTCTTTATTGGGCCTCATTGTGGGCTAACTTTAGAGACCTTAATCAAGCGCTGGGGGCTATAAATACTCTCTCACTTGAGAGAGTCAGGTATTCATCCTTTCATACTCATACTCTCATACTTGCTAGTACTCTCCTTGAACCTTACTTTGGCATCAGAGTGTCTTCCAGGTACCCCTCCCAACTCATTTCCAGTTGCTGCTCAACTCATAACTCGTAGGCTTTGATGATCCATTCTGATCAGGTACGATCAGTGGCACCGTCTGTGGGAAACAAGCTTCCTCGTATTTCATTTACCTAAGACTAAAGCAATTTTCAAAACTCTTTTGATTGTCATGACTGACCCAGCTGCCAATAACAACCTAGACGCCCATCTCACCGACCCCAACAACAACGTCGTCGATAACATGAGCAACAACAACAACGACGAGAACGGCGTCGACATGGCCGGTATCATATAGAATTACAGAGACGACATGACCGCCTCTTCATCATCCCACTCTCGGTCACACGTGGGTGCCCATCCGCCCCAGAACTATGAGCCAAATGTTTTCCATGAGGCCCCCGTCCCCGCGGGCACTGATGCCACGACTAGGGCTCTGTTCGTGGCCATTAACCAGACGAAATACTTAATCTTCTCACAAGGTGGGAGACTAAGGGTGCTCGAGGACTCTCGTCGAGACCCCAGAAGACACAGAAGACCTGACACTCCACCTCCTAGTCAGAACGAAGACCGTCTCCAATCTCTCCCGTGGAGACACAAATGGGACAGGTTACGAAGCCTCTCTCCCTGACGGACTGGGTGATGCCCCGCGTTGGAAAGGATAATTCCCGAGGATACCGGGAGATATGGCCTCCCCCCCCCCCCCCCCCCCCGCGCGCAGGAAATAACGATCCCATGAAAACAGAAACAGGGGCAATGTAGAAGCACATCCTCGACCAAGGTATCCTCCCTGAGGCCAAAGACATCACTAAGACCGCCACTACAACTGGTCTCCTTTCCAGTCCCCTACAGGAGCGACGAAGACTACCCCCACGGTCCTTTATCACAAGAAATCATAGAGGCGCCTATTCCCATGGGAATGGAGAAGCCTCCCCAACTGAAAGAATATGACGACATTGCTGACCCAGTCAACCATATCGGCGGGTTCGAGGCAATACTCCACTATCAGAACATCGGGGGACCGATCAAATTCCGGTTGTTCCCCATGACCTTGAGAAAGACTGTAATGGACTGGTATAAGAATCTCCCCTAGGGTCAATCACCTCCTGGAGGAACGTAAAGAGCCAGTTCATCAGCTCCTTTACAGCGTCTCATCGACACTAGAAGACTGAGGCCGCCCTTGAGGCTATCGTCCTTAGAAACGAAGAAACCCTCAGGGAGTACATCGATCGATTCAATCGCGAGGACAATTAGATCCCATGCACCAATTACATGAAGAGATATTTACTCGAGAGAGGACTCCTCCCGGGCACAGAGTTTAGGAAGGCCGTCAGCATCGAACCACCCCAGACTTTTGATGTTATCCTCAAAATAGCTAGGGCCTATATGGACTACAAGGAGAGGGAAGCGGCCAACAAAGGAAGTGACCCAAGGAATCCTGGATCGATCAACACCCTGCGACACCAGGAAGTAGGCCCACCTCGACGAACGAGAAAGAAGAGAAGGGAGGATAAACCGCACGATCCCCGCGAACATAGGGGACCCGCAGGTCAATTCACCAAATACACTCCGCTGGCCACTTCCCGCGAGTGCATCATGGTGGAGTGCGCTAATACCGACTTTAAGGACATCGGCGTCAAACATCCTCGATATGCTCTTGTGAATCCCAGAGCTGACAGGAGCAACTACTGTCAGTACCATAGAAGTCACGGGCACCTGACTGAAGATTGTGACCACCTCAAAGACGCCATTGAAACCCTCATCAAGGGTGGTAGACTCGAGCAATACTGGTGTAATAACTCCCCTCATCGAGATGTCCGCGATACAAGGGAGGTCGAGGAGGATACCCGACCATCAGATGAGGCGGCCCCCATCCAGATAGCTTTCTCTGTAGTAAAGCCGGAGGACTTCTACATACCCCGACAGATACGAGGAAGAACCTCTGTCCATGCACAATAGGTGGGAGAAACTAATCACTTTCTACATCGAGGAGTTTCCTGGAGGGGCCCCTAACCCGAGCATCCCTATGCTAGTGAGGGAAAGAATTTCTAATTTTGACGTTCACCGTGTCTTGGTCGATGAGGGGAGTTACGTCGATGTTATGTACAACCATCTATTTCGAACCTTACAGCTCTACGACACCCACCTTTCACCATATGTGGGGTCCGACCTACAAGGCTTCAGTGGCTTAACCTCCAAACCGTGGGGGTACGTTGAGCTTTTCATCACCTTCGGGGAACAAACTGCATCCCGGCAGATCAAGGTGCGATTTATGGTCATCGACTGCCCGTCTCTCTACAATGGTATCTTAGGGAGACCAACGCTGGCTGAATTGACCGATGTACCCTCCACTGTCCATCTAAAGAAGGAGGGGACGCATCGCCACCATCCACAGGGAAATCTCAGCTGCTCAAAGATGTTTCAACGCGGCTTCTAAGGGACATAGTACAATTGACACCAGG